AATTCACAGTAGTTCTAAGCAGCCTAATTAAAGGCATGCCCTGATTTCTTCGCTTTGTTTTTTTTTTTTTCCCATTTTAGCACATGTTGATGGCTCTTATTATTCCACTTTCAGTTAATTATCTTCTTGACCCCATGTTAAAAAAGTAACAATATATCTCTTTTTGCTGAATTCGCAGAATTCTCAGCAGAAGGCCTGCAAAAAGTCAGTGATATAACTTACATTCCTTCTAGTTTGATCCATGAAATGCATAGAGGCAATTTTTTGGTTTACTCCATGAATTCAAATCAAGTTGCTGATTATTCTTGACTGCTACTGGATGACACTTAATCCTACCTTGCAAGGTTACTGCAGAATTCAAGCCTCTATTGGTTTGTTTTGGTTCCATCTCAAAGATCCAAATACAAAATTTCATTCTTGTGCTCTCTTCCGAGGGGCAGGCACTGGCAGGGCAGGAGAAGCAGTATTCCACCACAGTTTTCACAAGACAACAATCCAACTTTAGCATACTACTAACCATGGCAGTTATCTCTCAGATGTCAAAAAGGTAATATGGAATATATGCTATAGCTTATTTACTAAAAAAGGAGACATCTGACATGATATGAATTTTAAGATCATTTAAAGGGAGCCTGTATAAACTCTACTACCTATCTATATCTCCGTAACTATTTTTTTAAAATTGTGTAGTAGACAACAGATAATACACACTTCAGAGCATAAAAAGCAATGGGAAAGATTTAATACGCAGCAGGCAAATGATCCTTTCTTCTTTTTTTTAATTTCATGCTAGTCCACAAAACCTTTCCAAAGGGTCTGCACACTCGGTATGAGTAGGCAGATATGATGAACAGAATTTGTTTGAAAATAATTAAGAACTCTTTGGTAACTGTAATCCTGATCAGCACTTCTTCAGTTGTTTTAAGTGAACTAGAAGGAAAAAAAGTTTAAATTTTCTTTCTTACACAAACATTGCATTTCTTTATCTCAGCAAAAAATGCCAATAACCTACATCAAACAGTGAAGGAATTGCTTTAAAGCAAAGACCACAGAATCCAAAAGCAAATTCTCCCTTTTTTGTCGTGCACATGATTCTGATGCATTTATCTTAAGTTGACATTGCTCAGACAGCTTTCAAATACCTAGAGACTTCTAGGGCACTTGCTCTAAAAAGACTTAAGTCTACTGTGGGTCCTAACATATTTCTCTAGTCTCCTGTCAATCTCTCTGGTATGCAGGGCACCTAAAGTGTTAAGGCATCTTGATCCAGCCCTCAGTGACAAGATAAGAATCATTAAAAGATGCATGTAGTATAGATGGTATTTTCAAAGCATTTCAATTCAAAAGTAACAAAGTGCTTCTGGATATCTCAAGCTTCAAACTGTCACAATGAAATAGTAAGCACCATTCCCACAAAGAACAGAGCATCACCCAGCACTTCTACAGTGGAAAGGTATTGCATCTTATGCTTCTCCCTGTTGAGCAACTTGTTTGCAAGCTCATGTAATGCTCTACAGAAGTGTTGTGTAGCTTGCTAGTGATCAGTGTCCCCTGTGTATGTGGAAAAGATAAAAACAGCACAGAGGTGCTTGTTTGTACTCATACCTACTCACACTACCAGAGTAACACTGATGAAAATTAATGCAGTTAAATTGGTTATATTGCTCCAAGCATGTCTTCACTATGTTTCTTAAATCTACTGTCACAAGCAAATGCAAGATAGCCGGACAACTCCAGCAACATGAATCAGCGATCAAAGTCAGAGAGCTCAGAGTCAGTCCCCTGTCCAACTGCTCACCAGAGCTTATAAAAAAGCATTGGAAATGGCATGTGTAGTTAAATCAGGAATGCTTTCTCTCAGTCTATATTCAATTTCTAATAGGGAACCAAAAACTCCTAAAGGGAAGAATACTTCAGGATAATGATCACCTTTCAAATCATAAGCATACAAAACAACTTAGTTTGACAGTCAAATTCATTGCAGGATTCAGAATTTATTAAGAATTGAAGATTTTGCTACCTTGCTATCTAGAAATCTTTTCCTTACAGGAAAAAAAAATTAAAAATCAGGAATGAAAGACTATTTAAAACCACCTCTTTTCACACAGCATTTCTTTAACCAATTCAAAGGTCTGAAAACCATTCCAATGCGGTATGGCAGAAGCATATGGTGGTGACAAGCTCTACTCTCTGAAGAATACCCTCCCCAGAGGGGCACGTTTCATTTAATTGGAAAAGCCTGGGGCCTGACTGAAGCAACAACATATACACATCATGTTTCCAACTAGAAAGCTCATTCTCACTGTGGTTTAAACATGAACTTTCCCTCAGCTATCATCACTGTTACATGTGTTACATTTTCCCATTAAGTTTTAGCCCACTGTTTGTATTTAATCCTTGGCAAGGCACACACATTTTTTAATTCTTAACCACAGATTTTCTAACTGGTGTGTTGATGTCACTGACCACAGGACAAACTTTTCAAAACTTCCAACAAGAACTGGAGACTTGCTTTGTTGATCACTGCTTATCTAAAGCAAAATTTAGTCTCTCTCCAAAGGTTTATAAACTGCTATACTAAAGGATGGTAGCATCACTCAAGCTAAAGGTAGAGATTTTTTTTAACGGCTGATTTTTAACTGGTACATAAAATACAAACAAACGTGTTGTTCTGCAAGCTATTACGATTGCTTATTTGCAAAGATCTGGGTAGGTTTTAAAAACCCCAATTTAATATTCACCAGACTGTTAAAATAGGTACTAAGAAGCAATGTTGCATCAAGAGCGTCCTCAATGTGCAACTTCTGTGAATACCCCTAACTCTGGTTCTGATCTCAACAAACTGCATTTTTACCTAGTATCTAGTGAATCACTTCAAGGAAGCAATACTCAATACCACGAAAGCATACCGGAGGAAAAGTTGGCTCTACAACATCATATTACTCAAGACAAAGTAGGCAACATACTTTCTGGTAAAACAAACAAAAAAAAGAACTTGCTGGGAGCCTGATGTCAAAGCAGACTGCAGCTCAGAATGGTGTGTCACGGGTGAGTGAATACTGGCAGTAATACAGCCTTCCTTTGTAGCAGCTTTCTGAGAACATGTTACATGTCTTAATTTAATCTAAGCCTCATTTTACACAGGACTTCTTTCTGGCTATTTTGTCTCACACACATGTGCACACACACCCACGCATTTTGTGTTCATTTTAACAGCTAGTAATTCAAGGTAGCCAAAAATGTACATGCTTATTCAGGTTTTAGTTTAGATGTATCGTGAAGGGCAATAACATTAAGCAGAGATGATGGTAAATGAAAAGCTCTACTAAATAGCAACAACCAGAGGATAAGCATGTGTGCTGCTTTTGGCTGGGATATGGGATAGAGTTAATTTTCTTCATAGTAGCTAGTATGGGGCTATGATTTGGATTTATGCTGGAAATGGCATTGATAACACAGGGCTGTTTTCCTTACTGCTGAGCAGGGCTTACACAGAGCCAAGGCCTTTTCTGCTTCTCACCCCACCCCACCAGCGAGGAGGCTGGGGGGGCACAAGAAGTTGGGAGGGGACACAGCTGGGACAGCTGACCCCAACTGACCACAGGGATATCCCAGACCATATGACATTGTCCTCAGCAGATAAAGCTGGGGGAAGAAGGAGGAAGGGGGGGACGTTCGGAGCGATGGCGTTTGTCTTCCCAAGTAACCGTTCCGCGTGATGGAGCCCTGCCTTCCTGGAGATGGCTGAACACCTGCCTGACGATGGGAAGTGGTGAATGAATTCCTTGTTTTGCTTTGCTTGTGTGTGTGGCTTTTGCTTTACCCACTAAACTGTCTCTATCTCAGCCCACAATTTTTCTCATTTTTACTCTTCTGATTTTCTCCTCCATCCCACCTGGATGGGAGTAAGCGAGCGGCTGTGTGGGGCTTAGCTGCCAGCGAGGGTTAAACCATGACACCATGAACAGAGATGCTGCTGTCTACCTGCCTGAATGCAGAGCTGCTGTATCAAAAAAGAAAAGCTACTTTTTCCTCACTGTTAGCACAGCTGAACAGATTATTGAACTTCAGGAAGAGATCCCAAGAAAATATCAACAGCAACATACATTTCACACACACACACACAAAAAAAAAAACCTCACACACAAATTTCTGTTTTGCACAACAGTTCAACTGATCTACACAAACTAGGAGAGAAGGACCTCTTGATCTTCCTTCTTTCAGCTCCCTTTAAAGTATTTGGGCTAGGCTTATCTAGTGGGTTTTGAGGTGTTCAATTTTACAGTGGCTGTATCCATGTTTCTTTAGCAAAAATCAGGGTACACATCAAAAAAATATTTTTCTCACTCCTACAGCCAACAAGTGTGTAATGATAACACGACTTAAGAGTTACTCGCCTCAAAAGGACATTTTTATTCATCTTTGTTTCTTTTCACACATCCTCCTTTCCTGATGTCGCCCCATCTTAATACTATCATGCTGCATGAAGTCCAGACAGAGTTTATAATGCAACTTAGACTATGTGCTTCAGTGCTTCTCAGATACCTGTACTTCCAGAATGAAATAGTTTTAACACTTGTCTAAGACCAGCCTGTACCACAGGATTAGCTTGAAAATAAACTTTAGGAGTGAGCATGTATCTCAAGTATAAAAATATTTAAGGACAGAAACACTGCCCTGCAAGTTGTACTATAGAATTTTCATCACTTCTTCCACCATGAGATCTACTTAATAACTATTTTGAGTATTATCTTTTTATAAAGTAACCTTGATGGTTTAAAAAGAAGAGTATCATCTTTCTCACAGAAAGTGACAGTGTCTCATGCTGTGTTTAAACACAGCAAAACTCTCCTCCACCTTTTAGTCATAGTTCAGTATAAATAACCCCTCTCAGCTAACCCTGAATTTTCTGTTGCAAGAAGCAACAGATGCTAGAGCTGAAAGCATAAGTACATAACACACAGAATGAAAAGCAGTGATGTATTTAAGCAAGGCCATACCTGAATACTCCTTCCATTTGGTCTTTGGTGTAGCCTTTTCCACTTTCACCTGCAGCAGATGCATTGCTCTCCTTTGTGCTATTGGGCTTACTTTGATCATTGCTACTGGCTGGTTTTCGGCAGTAAGCGCCTCCCCCAGCAGTACTTCCATTCTTCATAATAGCTTCCAACAAAACTATAAAACAATAGTATATCATAGTATCATTATAGGCATTAGCAATTAAGTCAAGGCTCTCAAGTATCTTAAATGGGAGCACCACATTAAAAAAAAGACTAGCTGCTACATCCTCCTTCCTTATTGATCATCACTTTGTACCACAAACGTTTCTGAAACAAGTCTAGCAACTGCTTTTCATGGCAAAACTATGGAAAAGTGTTTCAAAATTAGTGACTGGACTCCTCTCTACCTCTGCCAAGGTAATTTAATACTGGAGAGAATTTGTCGTGGTCCTTTACTTCTAGATGGTTTTTAGAGGCACTGAACCCATGCTTTGGGGTGAAAAGCATCAGAATACCTGAATAAGCAACTGTAAATCGAAAAGAGGAACTAACCTAACACTCTAAAGAACTTGCAAATTATTCCATACAGACACCAAGCCCATCTCCAGCACATTTCAGATGCTACAGTACATGCCTATTTGTAACCTGAACCATTAGCGGCCACAAACTGATGCTCTATACCCCCTCCAGGCAATACCAGCTGAAATTCAAACTACTGTTAAAATGCCACAAATAAGTCAGGACCAGGCAACTATATCCAACTATTGAGACCTCAACCTTGAAAACCAGCATGATTTTGCTAGATCTTGAAATCCTCTTTCCTTCCATGTTCCAACAGATCTCAAATTTAGCAGTTTTAATAAATCATCAGGCATTAAGTCTTCCTTTTTCTTTCTGGACATAAGCTTGTATTTTGGGGATACGCGTCTTACCAAAAAATCAGAAATAGTACCATTCTAACTTAAGGGACTGCACACAAAGCATAATGTAGAACAAAGATTATAAATAGTCTATCTTTCCTGAAAAGAGATCCCTTCAGAGCAAGACGACAAACTACACAGGCCAAATTTGTTTCATAAACAACTGAGTGTTACTATTTGCACAAAAAATGCCCTAATAAAAATTCCCAAAGAAAAACGTCCCACTTACTGTGAAAGCATGTTACAGCTTTACTGTTAAAAAACATTTTCTTCTAGAAGCTAGTCAGAAGAATCCTAAGGATTTTCTCCTAAATCTAATTTAAAAATTTCTCCTCTGACTAGCATGGTCCCTCTTAGAGCAGCAGCAAACTGGGATCCTACACATCATAGCTTGTATCTCACAGAAGCACAGGAAAAGAAAAGAAAGCAGAGATTTGTTTAAAAGGAGAAGAACCACTTCCCTAAAGATGTGCTTCTTAAAACTCTCTAGTATTTGCTTTTACTTACTAATTCACTTACTACCCACTGGCCACAGCAGTCTGATGTACTGCAGATGAATAGCTATACTTGGCCTGAACAAGAAAGTCAGCTGACTTCAGTGCCAGTCCTGTACTCGTACCTCCCTCAGCAAGATTCATCAATTGATCAGATCAGGCTTTTTACTGCAGAAATAAGGAAACGACTAACATTCAGATGCCAAATTGCATACTGAGGGGATGTTTTCACTATGAATGAAATGATGTTCTTGAAAACAGGTGAGCTTTGTTGCATTATGGATTATAACTGAAGCACATATCCAAATATTTGCAATAGTTTATTCTAATATCATCTGTTACGACATTTAAAGTTCTGAGGTAAATGAAGTAATAACAACTCCAACGAAGTGACTGTGTCTACAGGCTAAGAACTAACCAAGAATAGAGATTTGAACAGGCAGTGCCCTCAGAATGAAGCATTTTCAGTCCAGATGTGCTCCAGACAAGTGATAACAGAAAACCAAATTATTCTTTTCCTATCCCATGATGTCTGATATTTAATAACGCTATCACATGGGATCCTACAGAACATGTCACCCTGACTTACCCTCTAGAAATAATGCTTACTCAACAGTTTTGCAAATCCTGCCTTTATAGTAGTATTGCTCTAGAAATTCCCTAACCCTGCACTAATGCTTGTGCAAAATCAGTAGTAGCACTAAGGGTAGAAATGCAGGTATAGACAACGGTTTGCATTTTTAATGCCCAGTGTCTCTTCACAGCAAGTTTAGCTGGTAAGTCTTTTCATGAATTGGTTTGGCTGCACTATGCTTTCAACATTACTACTTCCTAATCACCTTCTCAGACCTCCCATCCCCATAATGGAGCTGCATGGCTGAGAAGACAATGCAGGACGCTTGCAAAAAAAAAAATATTTCAAATTTCTAAGTGTTAAATTCTTAAAATAGCAGGACACAGCATATACAAGCATGCTATTCTTCTACATTGAAAAAGAAAACCATACAATGGGTCTGGGGCCATTGTCTTCTTCAAATAGAAGATACAGTTCAGATATTCAGAAACAACTTTGACTCTTCCATGAACTGCTGGTGATAAAACAGGCTGTTAGAACTGTAGTACTAAGAGTGTGTTAAAGAAAACTTTCACTGTGTATCTAGGTATTTTAAAATAGGACATACAAGGAACCAAAGACTTATTTTGTTAGCAGGTAAGGCAACGAATCTTATCTCCAAATGTGTCTGAAGGCTCTCTTGTGTGTACTGTTACCTGCTGCTGAATGAAAGATCCTTGCACTGCATTTGATTCCATTATGCATTGAACATGACCCCCACTTTCACTAATGGAAGAACTGTTTAATTCAGAATTTGTACTAATGCAACAGCCTAAAAAACTAAGCTCACGTACGCCTGGAAAGTTTGTTTTTAAAGACAGCATCAGAAATAGCGCAAGAAAATCTTAAGCACTGAAAAATAAAGTTGTCCTTAACATCATTTTCTGCTGTCAACTCCAAACAGAATGGCACCTAAGTCTGAAAAGGAGATCTTGTCCTTTGTTATCTTTAAATCCACTCTTACAAATCTTTTCCAGACAAACAATTAGTTTCCATTCAGTTGCAAAATTAATCATTAGCAAAAGTCATCATCAAACAATATTTTGAACAGCTGAATTGTAAAACAAATTTCTAGCAGAGTGACGTCAACATGAACACTGCTACTATGAAGTCATTATCTAATTATCATTAAATAAGCACTGACCTTACACTTCACACTAGTAAAACCTTAAAATAGCACTGCTGCAGTCAGCGTATTTCAGGCAGAAGCTTTGTTTAGCAAAACTAAACTTCACTGATGACTGAACTAGTGCTGAATGCACTTTAAATGCAAGTGTTGCCAAAACCAAACCACACATAGTATTGTTTTAGAGACAATAGTTAAAACCTGCTCTCTGTCCATTTATAATCCGCTATAACATCAGGAGGAGGAAGCTCCCATCGGTAAAATATTCAGCGCTACCGTTCTCATTGCTTTTATCACTAATGGAACATTATTTGTGAAATGGTGGGCAATTGTTCTCAAAATGATTCTAAAGATACAACCTATGAAGAATCTGTGACTTCAGTGAGAAATTAGTATGAACTACCTTCTAATACATACCCTGAAAACAAGTGAGCACAGTAACACCTGAGGCTGCACCATATTGTCCTATCACCATATAAACCCAACACATTATGACTGTAAAATAAGAATTTGTGTTAGAACTAAGAGAGCTCACAAAACCTTAACTGTTTCCTTCTCTTCACTATATGCTGACACACTTTTAATTACGTAATGAATTACTTTTTTTTTTTCAAGTGGACCCCCCCTGCTTTATTTATCTAAAAGATTACAAGGAGATAACAAAGCAGTCATTTTGTTTGTTCTTAGTCAGTGTAAAATGCCAGTTCTAATTTATTGCGCAACTTCCAGTTCCTGTCCCGAAAAAAGGACATTCTGTGTGTCCTTGCAGCTTACTGCACTTTTAACAAGGCTATTTAAGTGCCTCAAAAACTTAAAAAAAAATAAAAATTTGAATGAGTTGATGTTGTTTTGGGAGGAAATGGGATGAGTTGAAAAGAATTACCAACCTCCACAGCTAGAAAACTGAAGCACAGGGATATTACAAGTTTAGAGAGTCCCCTAATTTCTAAGTACCTAGTTCAAATCAGGCCTAGGGCCTGATTTTTTTCAGTGGTATTAGGGCATCTGCAATTCTCATTAGCTTCAGATGGAGCTTTAACTGCCCACCAGTTCCACAAATCAGGCCCTTGTTTCAAGCTGAATACCTGAAAAATGAAGCACAAACAATTAGCCGTCACTAATGGAAACAGAGTGAAGTGACTTGTTTAACATCACAGAGAAATTCTGTGAAGCATTTAGTTTCAGTACACAGTTCCCCAGATCAGAGTCCACTACCACAAGACCATCTTTTCACCAGATCTGTACCTCATTTGTGACACACTTTGCTAATTTCCACAGTGAATAAAACAAGTGTCCTACAGACAATAGCCTAATTAGCCATCTATTTCTTGCACTGAATACTTTACAGTGGTGGTTTTGTAGTAGGAGTCCTACTTAAAAAAAACAAAAAAAACAAAAAACAAAACACAAACAAACCCAAACACTCAAACCATAAATCAGATGGAGATTTTTTTTCCCCCCCGAAAGCTACTGTAACTCTTGGAGATATTAGATGGTAATAAGCTACGTGAAGCAGACAAGGCGGTTTACTCTCTTTGGTGGAAAAAGCTGAATTGAAACCCTCAGCCTTCCTGCCTCCTGACCAACACAGCTTCCAAAAAGCTGAAAGTCTTTTCATGCACGTTATCTTCTCAAACCACAGAAATTTAGGGGAATATGGCAAACTTCTGCTTGTTTTTATTTCAGAGAGGTACGTCACGTAGCAAGAATATAAACAGTGCCACGTTCTTGATCCAAAGCAATGGTTACCTTCTTCCAAGTGATTTATCAGCAACATCCATCCTGTCTTGCAGGAGAGAAAAAAAAACAAAACACCACCACACAAAAAAACTATTTACTATAAAAAAAAGAAAAGCACTGATGAGACCTTTGTTTATTGTTTGTATATAAAAAGCAGTCAGGAGATAAGAGAGGCCAGAAAACATTCACTGGATCTGCTCACCTGACTTAAAGGCTTCACTACAGAATAAAAGACAGCGCAGAACACTTCCAGTCAGGATTTCGCTCCAAAGTCATGTTCCAAAAATGGCAAATGCTGAGGCCTTTAGGTCAGTACAGAGCCCTGAAGACTTTCGTATTCCTTGCACGGCACAGACAATGTAAGTGAGAATCAGAGAAACGCAACAAGTCACTGCTGCCTTCGAAGGTATTTCAAGCTGACTTCTGACACTGTGTGACAGAGGCTCCAAGACAGGTAACGGCTCTGCATACACTGAAACCTTACTATTGCTCCTTTTAAAAAATAATTTCTAAATACCTTTTGCTAGAAAGACGCCAATTATTTTTCAGGTTTTAGCACAGAAGTGTCTGAAGAGCCAATTAAGTCACGGGGGGAGCCACCGATCCCATTTCCTCTAAGAAAGTGAAACCCGTGTGCAATTCCTACGTAGCTACTGTACAACCAGAAGGGAAACAAAACCAAGAAAACCGAAATCAAAGGTAAATTAGAGCATGAAGGTGCTGCCCAGTGTGGAGCAGCAGCTCTTACTGCAAGCTGTTAGCGAGGGGGGTAATTCACGTTGACAGAAGAGAAGCCAACCCAGCCTGTCTCGGCCTGGGGCCTGAGGTGTCCTGCTGTTTGTTAATCGGGTCTAAGCCTAGTCTGTACGGCTACACTTCTGTCGATGGCCAAGGGGAGAGGGGAACTGCAGGCGAGGACTCGGGCTGGCCCAGAGCGAACCCCTTTGGCGAGGGGGGAGGCAACCCCGCTCCTCCCCACCGCCTGACGCCAGAGGCACACACCGACGGGGGAAATGCACCTGCCCTAAGCGCTCCTCCTGGGCGCTTCCATCACCGCTTCGGCCTTTTCTTCCCCGCCGAGCCCCACACGCCGCCGGAGACCCCAGCCCGGGCTGGTTTAGGAGCAGCGTCGTCCCGGCACGGCGCAGAGAACGCACCGCCGGCTCCCCCTCGCCTCAGCGCCTCAGCCTGCGGCGGCCGGCCGCGCGGGCTAAGAGCCCCCCGGGGTGAGGAGACCCACCCGCCCGCCGGCCGGCCCCGCGGTCCCCCTCGTCCCGACGGAGCAGGGCAGCGGAGAAGCGGCAGAGGGGAGGAGGGACGGCCGCGGCAGCAGGGCCGACGGGGCGCCGGGCGCGGGGAGGGGGCCGGGCTTCACCTCGGGCCGTCTCGGTCGGGTAGAGCTTCTGGGCCTTGCCGAGGAAGCGGAGGGCGCGGTCGCGGTTGCCGGCCTCCAGCGCCTCCCGCGCGATCCCGATGCACTTCTCGGCCTCGTCCCGGTTCCCCTCCATGGGCTTCTCCTTCCGCCGCCTCCGCCCGCCGCAGCGCAGAGAGAAGGGGCCTGAAGCCAGAGCGGAGCCGGGCGAGGCGGAGAGGAGCGGAGCAGAGCGGGCAGGAAGGAGGGCGGCGGGCGGGGGCTGCCCTCACTCCGCAAGGCTCATCCCGCCGCGCCGCGCCGGCGGTACCCGCAGCCCCAGCGCGGCGCTCG